AAACAAAGACTCAAGCGTCAATTTGTCGAAACACAAAACAGCAGCAGAGTTTCGAAAAATTGACGTTTGAATCTTTGTTTACAATATCAGATGCGGCTAGTTGAAATTTCACCCTTGATTTGTTGTTTTAATAGGCCTTTTAATGTACCACCAACGTAGAGTGCACCCCGTGAGTTCGGGAGGAAACGTCAACCAAACCGTTTGTTTACATCCCAATAAGAATTTTTCACAACACAAATTAAAGCATTTTTCATTCAACATCTTGCCAATTTCCATCGGTAATTGTCTTATTTTTTTTATGATTTTCCACTGATCTGAACTAATTTGCACTCAAACTATGTACACACAAGAAATCCGGAAGATCATAACCACTAAGGCACTATTCTTATTTTCATTTTTTCTCAACAAAAATATTCTTGAACACCAGCAGGATACGGACGAAATCGATACAGAATTAAATTTTTCAACTGTATATCAAGTTTTGGAGCATCTCTGATTAATCAATTTATCAGGAAAATGAAAAAAGGTGTTCCGCTTCCTATGTCTCACGGCAGAAATTTCTGCTCACAACACTCTTTTCGACGTTCTCCCATTCATCACCAAAGGTTGAATCGATCGCTTAGTTTCTATTAAAAAGGCGTATGGTAATAGTCAAAGCTATTTTGAAGTATTTAGGACTTTGAAATATTTTCATATCACATTGGGACCTTTAGCGTTTTAGAGATGATTGAAGTAAATTTTAGTACTACAATGCCTTCCCGTTGTTGGCAACGGTAATGATCAATTTGTGATTTTACTGAACCATTCTTTGCAATTAAGAGATGAGATCGAAGTAGGCCGCGCTGTGAAAATGACGTGTTTTTGTTTTGTCGCCTTGTTTTCGTTCTTGTGATATAAATATAAAATTTTGTTTTTTTTTTAATTTTAAAGTGCAGAAGTGGTGTTGAAAAGTTCATTAAGTAAAAAATATCAAATTCCTCTCCATTGCATTTGGTGCCGTCTGTTCCAAATAACGCGTAGTAACGCTCAGTTTCGTTCCTCTTTCCTCTATAGGATTTATCCATCTAATTTGAGAAAACCATTTTAAAACATACTAAAGCCAACCGGTAGAAACTGACGATTTTAAATTGGCTCACTACTTGACTAGCCTATTGGTCCCAAGTACATCGATTAAAGTTCCCCATTCTAGTCAATATTCTAGTACTACACTATGTTTGTTTTGATTTGCTATGAAAGTTTGACAGATAAAATGAGGGGTTCGTGGATTTTCCTATGTTTCGAGGGGTGCATCGATTAGCTTGGTACCAAAGAGAATACCAGAGTTGAGCCAATAAGTTGAGCACGTTTCTTCGGGACCTTCTAGCCTTAGAGTTACCTCTATGCTAAAGGTGCGTTCCATTTGGTGAATTTTCACTTAAATTTGACAGATGGAAAATTTTCAAATAAACCTGCTATTATACCAGACTAATTTCTGACAGACCAGGAATCAATTTTGACAAACAACTTCTCGAAAATCGGATGATCAACAACTGAGGTAATTTCGAACATTATAATTTATTTTCGTAGTGTCAAATGTAAGTGGAAACTCACCAAATGGAACACAGCCTGAATACGCGTCAGTCATGTGATGCACTACTGCTTGATTGAAAGTTTTAGTACATTATCAACGGAACAGCATCGATAATGTATTGTAGCGGGGCTAATCGTGTGTGAAAATAGCTTCGGAATGCTTGCGTTCTTGAAATGTAAGGGAGAACAGCCCATAATGCACCCCTGGGGTAAAATGCCCACTTATAGAAAAACAGCGATAACTTTTCCTCAGATGCATTTTCCGGGTAACGAATTGTGTTTGTTTTCAACTGGAGGTTTCGCAAATGATTCTTGATCATAAAATCATATATTGACCTACTGATTCCCTTAAAAAATAGCGTTTTGTGCAAAATATGATACAGTTGTTAAAATCGTCGACTTCAAATTAAGCTTTTAACAGCATATATCGCAAAAATTGAACTAATTCACTTTTCGTATATTTTTTAGATGTTTTACTTAATGAATCACAGTTTAACACTCTATTGCGACCTTATTTCTGATGTAACATAAAGGAATAATCATCAGGCGTCAGATCACCATGAATCAGGCGTTTTGCCCCGCTATCATATTGGAACCAATTTATAAAATACCTTGAAAATCATGAAAATGCATCGTTCTGTAGTTCGAAATCACTTGATCTTCGTAGAAAACATGGTAATGAACCAAACACCATTACTTTCTTCTTGATTTTAGCTTCCATACGCCAGCAATTGACGATTTTGCTTAAACGGTGCGTTTTGCACCATCCTACCCTACTTTTATTGCTACGGTAGAGCTGCCACCTTCCAACTCCCATGTTCAAGCTTCTTGCATTCATAAGAATTGATTGCAGGCAGATTTTATCCATAATACCACTGCCAGACAGTGGGAGTTCGATTGTTTTGGTTATTAATAGTCAGTTTTAGTTATGTTAAGGACATTTAAGCGATTTCGAGTTATTTTACGTCATGGTTTGCATCAAAATCATTACAATTGTAGCCATTGTTATGTGCTTACGGGTTCTTTTAAATATCTTCATTGAAATGTTTCTATATTATTATAGGAAATTATAAATAAAACACATAACTTCACAGCTTTTTCATGGTATGGTTATATGATAGCCCTACAAATTCAGAAAAGTCTAACAGGGTCAAGCTAGGAAGACTAATTTTTCAAAACCAAATTAAGTGTGATAATTCAGACACATAATATTGAACTACGTATGTGAAGTTCATATAACCTCAAACAAGGATCCAGAGCTGTCACTCTCGAAATAACCTAAATCTCCAATATGGTCGACTCGTGACATAACATCCAAAACCGCAAGCTCTGTTCATAACCAGCTGATCTCAGTATTGCTACAAACGGTACCTACTGCGACGTAACGTCGCCCACAAGGCCAGCAACCTTTTTCGCCAAACCCATCCAAATAAACAAATCAACATTAAAAAAACTCACTCTCAATTTCATTAGCGACACTCAGCCGTCCATTCAACAGTCAGCACCAACGAAGAAAGAAAAAAAAAAACTTCCCACGACCAAACCAACAACGGTAAACACGCTGAGCACGGTTTGCCGATTCGGCCGATGACGCATCTTCCAGCGCTCGTTCAACGATTTGGAGGTCAACGAAATCAGCGCACCGCTCCTTCATCTCCTCCTTCGGACCTTATTCGCAAACATCTATTAGCAGCGTAACTTTTGTTTACACTTTACGCTTTGTGATGCAATTGTGGTTGTTGGCACGACCCCATTATTCCCGCCGCCCACAAGGTGCTGCTGCTGCTGCTGCTGTTGGTTGTGGTGGCGTTGCATCAAGAAGTGACAAATCTCGAGACAAATAAAGCAGCCGTTGACCACGATTAGGACCGCCGTTGTAGGGTTCGAGCAATTTGAAACTAAATTTGTCACGCTTCGGGAAGTCGCATTTCTAAAAGCGATAGATTAATGGGCACTGTTTGATCTGCGAAACAATCGCCATTGTTTTCCGTCACATGAGGAAAACTTTCCGCTGTTGGTTGGCATGGCGGCATAAAAGTAAAAGTGAAAGATTGGTGAGCAGTTCCACGCCAAATGACAAATCGATCAGACTCGAACTTCTCCGATTTGCAAGAAACTTTGCCTATTGGATCACATCATTCGAGCAGTTTTAAATGAAGTTTCCTACCACTCGAACTTTGCCATGGAGCAATATTTTGAAGAAAACAAATCTCCTAGAACCTCGGGAAAATAGTGTCTTATTTATGCTGAGCTAGATTTTTTGGAATTTATTCGCTGAAAACAGATCGTCCCAAAACTGCTCGACAATATGATTAATTGTTTGTTATGGGTACCCTAATAAAGATAACCATAAAAGAGAGCTTAACGACGTATTCAGGGTATCATACAAACCATTTGTGAGATATTTTACCCATCAGGGATACAGTTCGTTTATGGTATTTGTTTATTAGGGTAATCATTCAAATTAAATTTGTATAAAAATTTGCCTATTTTTCAATAAATGTAGCACGATTATCTCTAATCTAAATGACGTCTGAGACAAAGTTGTAGGGCAAAATGAATTCTTTCTTGGAAAAAAAAATACACGGTAAATTATTTCAAATATTTAAAAAAAAAAACTACTCGAAACATAATTATGTAAAAAATGTCCTTTTTCAAAAAAAATTATTAATTTGTTGCCAAAAAACTTATAAAAACCTTAGAACATCAACTTTTGGTTAAATTTTTAAACTTAAATAATTCAATAATGATTAATTAATAATGGTACTAATTCAAAATGGCCGAATCTCAGCACAGGTGTGAATAATTGCAAAGTTTCATTCAATTCGGAGAAGGTCGATTCAAAGAGTCATTTTTTTTTTTTTGCTTTTTGGCCTGGAACTGCTCTTGGTGTATCTCGTCAATCGTTGGCACTTTTGTACGTACTCTTCCTGATTGGCTTGTCAGTTTGTAGGTTGCGGTGCAGAACTGGTTTTTTGCGCAGGCATATAATAAAGCCGGTGCAACGTTAAGGGATGCTGCCAAGGGAGGCCTGACGGGGAACGGCCTATGACGAACCAGGTGGAAATAATGACATTACGCTTGGTTGCCATACACGACGGGTATTGAATGCAGAAGAAGGGGCTATTATCTCATTTTGTTCGAGTTTTCTTCGAGTCTGTTTTGGTTCCTCGGAAGATGCAGTCGAGAGCAACGGGGTAATGGCCGAGCACCCCGCGAAGACTGTACTGAGTTATGGGGTTGAATGAATGCCATAATGCCGAAACAGGCTCACTGGGGCTTGGGTTAGGTAACCGTTGCTTGGAAATTGGGGTACCCAAACAAGTATATGAATGTGATAATTTTTCCAAAACTGGGTCAGTGATGGGTTCCGGGCGTTCGTTGAACCTTGAAACAAGCTAATCATTTACCAATATCTCTACCTTTTACAGACACAATATGAATCTCATAACCACCGCTGCACTGGTGGTGCTGATGGCTATAGCGGCCACCAACGCCGACGAATGGAACTGGTTGAACAGCGGAGAGGCCTTTATGGAAGATCTGATCCGCGAGAAACGCCAGGAAGGCAGCCAAAACGTGACAGAAGTCGCTGACGATGACATCATAAACTACATCCTCGACAGTGGACGTCAGGGTCGAAGCCTTGAAGGTTTTGACGAAATCTATACCGACCCATCGGTTATGCAAGCCATTCAAAACTCCGATGACGTTGAAGCCCGGAACATTATCAAAGAAAAACTCTGCGCCCTTGGGTTGATGCAGTGTGACGGAGAACTCGTCGACGGTAGACGTCCGTACCTGAACCCTCAGAACCTTATCTACGCTCAACCCGTGGCTCTGAAACCAGTCGGTCGCCCCATCGCCACCATCCCAATCCGTGGCCCACCCGGTCCCCCTTCCCAAGGTCCACAATATGTCCCAAGACCACCCCAGCAGAAACCTCACCAAGGTCCATACGGACCACCACAACCCATGCCACTTCCTAACCGTCCTCAGCAAAAGGTTGGCTTCTCCTCCCAGCAGCCACCTTACGGCGGACCCAATTCCTTCCAAGGTAGTTCCTCGTTCAGTGGTTCCTATTCCGGCCAATCCGGTTCCTTTTCATCCTACCCCTCCAAACCCTTAGGTCCCATCTACGAAGGCGGTGGCATACCGTACGAATTTGAAAATCCCAACAAACCACCAGGCGTCATCATCGGTGACGGACCCTCTTTAGTGAAATCTCCCATTGAGCAGCACATCCACCACCACTACCATCACATCGAGGGAGGAAACAGCGAAAAGACTATCGTGACCAATCCTATTCCACTGTCAACGGACGTAATCACCGGATCGGTTGTCGGTGGAAGCTCTTCGTCTAGCAACAATCTATATTCATCCAGCGCCGAGTACGGAAACTCCGGTAGCTTTAGCTCTGGTGGATTCAACCCACTTGGTGGCAAGGACTTCGACTACCAGGAGCTGAAAGGTTCTGCAAACAGCAACAACAACAACAACAACGGATACGGACAACAGCTCGGAAGCTACGCCTCGCAATCCAAGCCTACCGGTGGATCCAATAACTACTACAGTCAAGGCCCAGCCACATTTGGAAGCTCAGAAAACACCGTCTACGGTTCGTACACTACCGACAATGCTGGCAGCGGTAGCAACATCAACAACAACAACAAGTACAATGGACTGAGCAGCAGCAACTATCAATCCAGCCAGGGAGCCTTCCACGCATCCAACCCGAATCTCTACAAAAAGGAACTGAACGTCAAAGGACCCGCCAACGGACTGAATAGCTACAGCGGAGACTACAACAAGTACAGCCAACAGTCCAACGGACAGTACAGTAGCAACAATGGTCAGTTCAACCAGAATCTGTACTCCATCAACAACGGTCAGTTCAACAACGCAAACCAAGGTCAATTCAACAACGGAAACCGAGGTCAGTACAGTGGAAACAACGCGCTCAGCAACCGCAACGAGGATTGTGTATGCGTTCCATACGACCAATGCCCAGCCCAGGACGTTGTCGGTCGTCGTGATGATCTCATCCTGCCTCTGGATCCCCGAAACCTCAAAACCGATATCCAAGCCGACACCGAACAGGTTGTGATCACCGACAGCAAGGGAGTTATGACCATCGTCCAAGCGCCAAAGAACATAACCGCTGAATCCCGATCCGCCAACGTTACCGAGCCAGCCAAGAAGATTACCAAGCGAGAAGCCTCTCCCGCTGCAGCTACCAAAAAGTCCGACAACAATGATGACAAAGCTAACATCGAACCGGTAAGTTTGAACTGCCTTCCTACTTCTAATGGTACTAACTGCCAACCAAAATTTCAAAACCTAACCTCCGTTTCGGCCACCACTAACGCTCACACACTAACCCGGGTCATGTTAACCTAGTAGCTGAAATAGATGTTATCTGTACCATACCGCTTTGTACGTTTCCTCGTTGCAATGTTGACCAAACCGGACACTGGACCTAAACAAAGAACACCCTAAAGTTCAACAAACCACCCTAAATCAAACACTAAAACAATACATTCTGACATAAGCTTTGGCTTCGCTCACAAAAAACAACAACAACGAACCGGACTAAGCCCCGTTCTGTTGAGCTCTGAACGACCACTTCAGCAGTTCAACAGCCTTTAAACGCCTTATGACAACAAACTGTCTAAACAAATGCCTTGTTTACTTGTATTGTTTTAGCGTTTGGGAGGTGGCCACGGTGGTGATGGAGGTGGAAAGAAAGTTGTTCCTACCTTTGGGGTGTCCTTTGGTCTACCGTACCCTTCTTACCCACTGAACCCATACGGGCCTAACCCTGCCGGGAACCCGTACTTTGGTTCCATCGGTGCGAACGGTCTCAATCTCGGGTTGGTCAATGTAAATCCTTTATTTTCCCTTCAAGTCACCAAGGATGAGTATGGCGATAAGGTTGTGAAACCTCTCGTCAACCTCCATTTGACTCCCACTGCAAATGTTGTACAGAAAGTTGGGCATCTATTGGCCGCTAAAAAGCAAAACATCTTGCACGTTTTCAATCAGCACGATCACGTTCACAACCACTTTGGTTACCCTTCACCACCGCCAATCTATCGTCCTCCGCATGGACCGCCTCTCATCCATGGTCCACCGCAATCCTTCGGCCCAATTGGACCAGAGCTTATCTATACGAAGCCTCCTGGACCTATCCACACTCCTGGTCCGTACTACCCTGGTCCATCTGGTCCTATTATAAACCGACCACCAGGACCTTCTTTCATTCCTAGCGGCCCTCCACGCCCACCACCATTCTATGGAAATCAACCTCCATTCTATGGAAATAAACCTCCATTCTACGGACCACGACCTCCATACTACCGTGACGCAGCATCCTCATCCGACGTTGAACTAGACTACAATCCCAGCGACATCGGTAGAGCTGCAAACGTTTCCTTCCCTCAGTCCCAAACTCCGATCGGTAACTTCCAGTACCAGTCGGTCTATCCCCAAAACCAACCCGACTCCCTCAATCAGAACAGAGTACATTACGGTAGACAGTATCAGAACTATCAAGATAGTAACTTAAGACTTCCACCTACTCAGAATATTCCGACACCGCCACCGGGACATTCCGAAGGTAGTAACATCGTTAGCTTCCCACGTAGTCGCCGATCCACCGACGTTCCGGCTCCGGACCAACTGGAACCAGTCAAGGAAATTACGGACTCTCTGGCAGTGCCCAGTGAACAGGTTGAGGTACAGGAAAAATCTATTTCAGCTGAGAAGGTAAGTGACTAACCCACCATTTCAGGTCACATGAATAACCTCCATGTTAAACCTACTGTTGCTTACGAAACCATTAAATTTTCATTCGACAGCGTCAAGCATACTATGGAGCTCGTCCACAGCAGTGCCCATCGCGTAACGTTTGCTGCCGTCGTCCAGTTAACCGCCCCCCACAGCCACCTACTCACGCAAACCTTGGAAAGTGCGGCGTTCGCAACGCCCAGGGCATCAACGGTCGCATCAAGAATCCAGTCTATGTCGATGGTGACAGTGAATTCGGCGAATATCCATGGCAGGTCGCTATCCTGAAGAAGGACCCCAAGGAATCGGTTTACGTCTGCGGTGGTACCCTGATTGATAATCAGTACATCATCACGGCTGCTCACTGTGTCAAAACGTAAGCTTCTTTGGTTAATTAACTATTTCAACTGACCAAACCTAACCTAACTTCTCTCACCATATCCAGTTACAGCGGATTCGATCTCCGCGTGCGCCTCGGCGAATGGGATGTGAACCACGACGTTGAATTCTACCCATACATCGAACGGGACGTCATCTCCGTACAGGTTCACCCCGAGTACTATGCCGGAACGCTGGACAACGATCTGGCCATTCTGAAGATGGATCGCCCCGCGGACCTCTCCAACGCTCCGCACATTTCGCCAGCCTGTCTGCCGGACAAATTCACTGACTTCTCTGGACAACGCTGCTGGACGACCGGTTGGGGTAAGGATGCCTTCGGTGACTACGGCAAATACCAGAACATCCTCAAGGAAGTCGACGTTCCGATCATCAACCATCAGCAGTGCCAGAACCAGCTTCGTCAGACCCGTCTTGGCTACAGCTACAACTTGAATCCAGGTTTCGTCTGTGCTGGTGGTGAGGAAGGCAAGGATGCCTGCAAGGGTGATGGCGGTGGTCCACTGGTTTGCGAACGTAACGGAAGCTGGCAGGTCGTCGGAATTGTATCCTGGGGTATTGGCTGCGGTAAGGCTAACGTGCCCGGAGTCTACGTCAAGGTTGCTCACTATCTAGACTGGATCAACCAGGTTCGGGGACGATTTTAAAGACCCGGAACCTTCTAGTATTGGATGTAGTATTTATTGATGACTCATATTTATTGTGTAAAACGAAAGCTAGCGAGAACTTAACCAGTGATACTCGAGAGTCAAGAGATGATGAAGATTTTTGTGTAGATAGATGAAAAAAGTGTATAAACTTCAGCAACGGTCACGTTGACGAACGCAACTAGTATGAACGACTGCTGGAGGTAAAGTGTACGATGCTATATGACAGCATTTCTCCTTAGATGACCCAAGTTTTGTATGTAGTTTCCGTAGAGATGTAAAATTAGGATTCTAAGTGATGAATAAATTATTGTATTTATTCCTTAACAAAGTGCGCATGTGTCTATGAAAGAATAAGTCCGTTGTGGGAGTTCCCCTGAGAGATTACCTATGCGTCCGTACGCCGTCGTGGTTCGAGGGCAAAGAAGTTGATAGACGATTGCTGCGTGTTCTCGTTGTCACTATACCCGCTATATTTCAAATATCAAAAAGTGGAACCAATTCAATATATTGTAGACCAACAATTGAAAAAGTACTATCAACTTTTATGTCGGCGCTTTTGGTGTAGTGGTAAGCGTGACTGATTTCTAACACCCCAATGGGTCTGGGTTCAATCCCAGCCGAGGTCGGTGGGATTTTTCTGAGGCATAAAAATCTCTGGTCACGTCTTCCTTCGGAAGGGAAGTAAAGCCGTTGGTCCCGGCCCATGTGTGTTGAATGGGTGCGATATCCTACGCAGGTGTGGAAGCTGCCTTCCTGCACATTCAATTGCCGTCAATGGATGCCAATCGATGTCCGTCGGTGATTGGCACTAGATTGCGGAACAGAGACCGACGTTAAATAAAGGAAAGAAGATCAACTTTTATAAACAAAACGTTGGTTATTCTTTCCTCATCATTCGAACGCAAATTACCAGCATCCTCGGATAGGGGACTCTCCGACGACAGCAGGCAGCATTCCGTGCTGGAAGATCTTGTGTGGAACATATTTTCACGCTCCGCATCATCTTGGAGCAAGTCAATGAGTTCCAAAAGTCCCTGTACTTGGTATTCATTGACTACGAAAAAGCTTTCAACTGACTAAACCACGTAAACTTGTGGGGCGCTCTGAGACGCAAGGGAGTCCCTGATAAGATCGTCAACCTCGACGAAGCGCAGTACGAGGCTTTCACATGCAGAGTGTTGCACAACGGAGCTTTGTCTGATCCGATTTGGGTAATCGCGGGTGTGAGGCAAGGATGTATATTATCACCCCTACTGTTCCTCATCGTAATCGTTGCCGTTGACCGTGTACCGAACCGTGGGTTGCTGTGACAGCCTATTACCAACAAGCAATACGAAACTAACGATTTTAAATTGGCTCACTACTTGACTAGCCTATTGGTCCCAAGCAAATCGACTGACGTACCCCATTCTAGTCGAAATTCTACTACTACACAATGTTTGTTTTGATTCGCTATGAAAGTTTGACAGATAAAATGAGGGGTTAGTGGATTTTTGAGGGGTGAATCGATTAGCTTGGGACCGAAGAGAGTACCAGAGCTGAGCCAAAAAGTTGAGCACGTTATTTCGGGACCTTCTAGTCTTAGAGTTACCTCTATGCTATTACCATGGAGCATCTCAACGACTTCAATTTGACTGATGATGTTGCGTTATTAGCACAACGGTTAGGGGCTCGCAATAACCTTTAACTCCGACGGAAGCAACGGCTGTAATTAAATTAATTCCATTAACTACTGCTTTAATTACATTAATTATACAGTGTAGAACATTAACTACTTTTTAAGTCCATTAATTGCAGTCGACTTTTCGTAATTGAAGTACATTAATTTCATTTTCAATTGCATTAAGTACGGATAGTTAATTTTAATTACAGTCAGTTCTACTTCAAAACGCATTAATTACATTTAGTACTTTTGATTGCATTTTAACTTCAACTTTGTATTGCGTGCCCCTCGCACAACGGCGCTCTGACATGCAGAGTAAGCTCGACGACCTTGTGGAACGCTCCTCTGAATCAGGTTTAACCATCAACGTTAACAAGACCAAATCGTTGGATGCCAACACGGAAAACCGTTCCAATTTCACGGTAGCTGGGCAGGCAGTGGAGAAAGTCGAAAGTTTCCAATATCTTGGCAGCCAGATAGCGTCGGACGGTGGCACCAAGAGCGACATAGATGCACGGATTAAGAAGGCGAGGGCTGCTTTTGCCAGTTTGCGAAATGTATGGAGAGCGATTCAGCACCAAAAACCGAATTTTTAACTCGAACGTTCGAGTCTGTGCTGTTATACGCCAGTGAAACATGATGTGTATCAGCGGAGAACACTCAGAAGCTGCAGGTGTTTATCAACCGATGCCTGCGGTACATAATTCGTGCCTGGTGGCCCCACAATTGGATCTCAAATTCCGAGCTTCATCGTTTGTGCCATCAGAAGCCGAGAGAGACAGAAATTTGTGAATGGAAGTGGAGGTGGGTCGGCCATACACTACGACGGAGTGGAAACGAAATCTGTGAGGAAGCACTGGACTAGAATCCAGCAGGACATCGCAGCAGAAGCAGACCCAGAGGCTCTTGGCGGCGGAGCCTAAACAGTGAAATTAAGAACTTTGACCGAAATTTGACTTGGGCACAGGTCAAGGCCAAATTTAGTAATCGCCCATGATGGAAATCTTTCACAAAGGCCCTTTGCACCCCTGGAGGTGCGCAGGATCGTTAAAAAAAATTGGATAGGGGAAACGTTTCCAACCCAAAGATGGTGTTAGCATAGAGGTAACTCTAAGACTAGAAGGTCCCGAAGAAACGTGCTCAACTTTTTGGCTCAGCTCTGGTACTATCTTCGGTCCCAAGCTAATCGATGTACCCCTCGAAACATGGGAAAATCCACGAACCCCTCATTTTATCTGTCAAACCTTCATAGCGAATCAAAACAAACATAGTGTAGTACTAGAATGTCGTCTAGGGTACGTTAATCTACTTGCTTGGGACCAATAGGATAGTCAAGTAGTGATTAATGTACTCCATTCTAGTCGAAATTCTAGTAAGAATGAGAATGTAAGAATGAGAAAAACTTTATTGGGAATGTTCGATTGGCTCAGATTTTAACAGTTCATTTGGCTCAAAACATTCTCTCCGCCCATCTCTCCCTCTGAGTATTTCTAGTTATAACATGTTATAGCGCTATATTGATGGTGGTTTCTGTGTTGCAATTATTTGACAACCGAAATCTCAAAACGACCTTTTGTTTTTTACCCATTATTGAGTATCTGTTACCTATTAATGGGTAACTATTACCCCATTAATGAGTAACAGTTACTCATTAATGGGTAAAAGATACTCATTAATGGGTAAACAAATTACTCATATTGAGCTAAGCCACTTTTCATAAAAATGGGTATTTCTGCACCCATTAAAGGATCGTCCATTAATTATGCCACACTTTTAGGCGGGAGGGAGGTTTTAGAAACTATGACGTGCCATACATAAAAGTTAAGGTCCATTCAAAAAATGTGACAACTCCCCCCTTTGTGTTTAATTAATAATAATTATTAATTAATGGACCTTCCCTAATGGGTACTTTCAAGTTAGCGTGTAAGCTTTTAGAAATTTCTCCATCCGAATGAGTAAAAGTGACTCACTCTGTTGGAAATTTTTTTCAGTGAGTAACAATTCATAAATAGTCAACTGTGGTTAAAATATATCGACACTTACACGGCCGATGAGACAAGCTCAGATAATCACTTTTACACTGAAAACGCTGAAAATAGTCCCATAGAGCTTTTCGACGTTTAATCGGCGCACACTACTGCAACTGCACCATTTAAATCGAACGAGTGCGAGCAAGAGGGAAACAGATTAGTGAGAAAACAAACTGTGCATTCAAGAGCAAATTTGCATTATGTCGTAAGTAACATTCGCACCAATCCGAGAAAAATAAAGTTTTGTTTTGATGACCGAAAAGTTATTCCTATTTCCAAGTAAACACATATAATCTCATAGTGATAGCAATGTTTAACATATTTAGCAGGGTTTTAATCATACAAATGCAAATCGCTAGCTTTCATGCTAAAAAATACTGGTTTTTGAGTCAAAAGTTATTATACGTCGTTTGGTGGCCCCTATTGTTACTTAAGTCAAAGTGTATTTACCAGGATATTCGGGAGAATTATCAATTACATCTCCTTACGTGTAGCCCATTCATCATTTTAGGACTACCGAAATCATCTTAGCAACAAACAGTTCGATTTATTCACTTTAATAATGAGAAAGCGAAACGACGAACGTACACTTTTCACGGGTTTCTCAGCGCTGTTACTTAAGTCAAACGGCATCTCCATAGAAATTGGGTGACTTAAGTAACATCGAAAACTATTTTGATCGGAAGGTGATTACGTCAAAAAGCAATTTGACTGGCAAATAAATTTAAAAATGGGATTTGATCCTATATTCGGACAGTATATAGTGTAATAGCAGGAGAATCGATTGACACTGATAGCTCGACTTTGTTTACCTTTGTTACATTCGACGTAATGAAAATTTGATCTTGCATTCATCCATGTGTGCTAGATAGAGAAAGACGATTAAAAACAAACGTCAAAAAGGTCTATGGTAACAGTTATAAACAGGAATAACTGGAGGGCGTATGTTGTTCCATTTTCTTCTGTTCCTGAGAGAGGGAAAGAGAAGGGTCAAAATCCAAACCTCCAGATAGTGTCAAAAAGTACAGAAAAGGATACATCAGGCGTAATTTGATAACGGCACAAAAGCTTTTGTAAACAAAAAATGTAAGGCCCCCTACACGTGAACCGAAGAAGCCCACGTGAACCAACAACATCATCGGATGGGGGAAATTTTTGTATAATTCAGGCATAACATTTGATAACGGCACAAAAGCATTTGTAGACAAACTTTCTAAGACCCTTTACACGCGAACCAAAGTACGCCCACGCAAACCAATACCACTTTCGGAAAGGTGATAGTTGCCCCTGTTCGATGATGTTGTTGGTTTGCGTGAGCGTACTTTGTTTCGCTTGTAATGGGCCTTAGAAAGTTTGTTTACAAATGCTTTTGTGCCGTTATCAAATGTTATGCCTGAATTGTATTGGTTTGCGTGGGCGTACTTCGGTTCGCGTGTAAGGGGCCTTATAACTTTTGTTTACAAAAGTTTTTGTGCCGTTATCAAATGTTACGCCTGACATTTATTCATACAAACAGGCCGCCATTACCGAGCATGAAATGCTGGATAGACAACACTAATAGAATTCCACACATTTTTATTGACGAATTTCCATGTAAAATTCCACATGATTTTCATGTGACCTCACATAAACAGAATCCACCCAGAAGCACACATGACATTTATGAGTCAAATGAATAGTATGTGTGGTTACACATAGCTTTTATGTGTACACATATTAAGTATGTGTCCGACACATAGATATCATTTCAGGCATAACATTTGATAACAGCACAAAAGCATTTGTAAACAAACTTTCTAAGGCTCTTTACACGCGAACCAAAGTACGCCCACGCCAACCAATATTTCGGAAAGGTGATAGTTGCCTCTATCCGATGATGTTGATGGTTTGCGTTGGCGCACTTTGGTTCGCGTGTAAAGGGCCTTAGAAAGTTTGTTTACAAATGCTTTTTGTGCCCTTATCAAATGTTATGCCTGATTTATTGATCACATTGCAAAAACTCATGTGTGGGACTCATAAAAACAATATTTGAAATGTTATTAGTGCACCTTTTTGCAGGAAATTTTCTTCAAAATCATCATCTATCAGATTCCTATCTATTAAGGTTCAATTTACTTTGATGCTTTTTGGTAAATTTCAAAAGCAGTTTATCCCGATGCATTATGTTTTTTCCGAGTGCATCTCACATTTTTCCTGCATCTTAGATAGAGTCACCCCCTCGGTTTTTCCGAGTTTCTTCTAGCTTCCCCTGGAAATGGCTGCTCCTGAAATTTCCTCTAGAAGAGCACTGTCTTCCCTAATAAAAAATAACCATAAAAGAAAGCTTATCGTATATGTTCAGACTAAAGAGCCTGAATTTATAAAGAGACGACATCTTATCCATTTGACAGGTCTTCTGCTCGATTGGATTAGTTTTTCTACGACTTTGACAGACAATCGATTCCAATTTTGAGATGTCGCCTCTTTATAAATTTAGGCTCTTTAAACGCTGGCCAGACTGAGCAATTATAACATGTTATAATGGTTGTCAAATAATTGCAACACAGAAACCACCATCAAGATAGCGCTATAACATGTTATAACTCTGTAGTCTGAACAAGGCATTATAGTACGTTCAGACTACAGAGCTATAACAACAATCAATACGAAACTAACGATTTTAAATTGGCTCACCACTTTAGTAGCCTATTGGTCCCAAGCAAACGATTAACGTACCCTATTCTAGTTGAAATTCTATTACTACACTATGTTTGTTTTGATTCGCTATGAAAGTTTGACAGATAACATCAGGGGTGTGTGGATTCATGCAGAACATGCAGGGGTGAGTGGAATAGCTTGGGACTGCTTGGGACCGTTGTTCTGGTACTGAGTGAGCCAAAAATAATAATGATTTTATTCGGGACCCAGTGGTCTTAGAGTTACCTCTATGGTTATAACATGTTATAGCGCTATCTTGATGGTGGTTACTATGTTGCAATTATTTGACAACCGTTATAACATGTTATAACTCTCCAGTCTGGACAGCGTTTTAGTTCAAACGCTGTCCAGACTGGAGAGTTATAACATGTTATAACGGTTGTCAAAGAATTGGGTTCTTTAAGGGTATTGAGGTAAATGCATATTCGTAATCTGCATTAAAAATGGAACCCAAACCCAAAATTTCATCAATTTTGGTACACTGGAACTATTTTAAATAAGTACGATTACATTGGCAGAAATTACCTTATTAGCGCCCCTCGGTGTCACTTTGTATGGGAGCGAGCTGTCAGTTTGTTAGTTTAGTGTCAAACAGTGAAGTTATAATTTTGCTTTAAATCTTGACTTAAAAATCGAGATGAAAGTGTGTGGGTTCGAAAAAAATATCGCTGTGCTCCGAAAACGAAGCTCTTTCAGATGATGTATAAAAAACGATACATTTTTCAAAATTAAAGAACCCAATTGCAATACAGAAACCCCCATCAAGATAGCGCTATAACATGTTATAACTCTGTAGTCTGAACATACTGTCATGCTACGTTCAGACTACAGAATTATAACATGTTATAGCGCTATCTTGATGGTGGTTTCTGTGTTGCAATTATTTGACAACCGTTATAACATGTTATAACTGCTCAGTCTGGCCAGCGTTTCAGACTACAGAGTTATAACATGTTATAACGGTTGTCAAATAGTTGCAACACAGAAACCACCCTCAAGATAGCGCAAAACATGTTAAAACTCCGTAGTCTGAACAACCCGCATAAACGCGAACCATAAATTGACCTTACCTAAAATGGTTAAAAATTGTTTATAATCCCTGCTAAACTTTAACTGAAATGGTTATGGAACTTTACATGAATGTTTAATGATAAAGTTTCAACCTTATGTATTATGGTTTTTTGGAACTGGACCTTACACATAATGGGTTGTTAAGAACCATTCCCATTCCAAATTCTTGTTTTCTCCATACAGTTTCAGAAAGAGAACTATATAAGAACGTTTTTACTTATGATTTGAGAACATTAATGGTAATGGTTATGGTAGTCAGTAAGGTCTATTAATGGTTTTGTATTATCGCTCAACTTTACGTGGAATATATCGTGAATTGGTAATCAGTAAATTACAGGCAACCAATTCGCGATATATTCCACATAAAGTTGATCGATGTTACAAAACCATTCGTGGACCTTACTGACTATCATAACCATTACCATTAAAGTTCTCAAACCATAAGTTAAAAGGTTCTAGTATAGTTCTCTTTCCGAAAATGTATGGAGAAAACAAGAATTTGGAACGATAATGGCTCTTAACAACCCATTATTTGTAAGGTCCAGTTCCAAAAAACCATAATACATAAGGTTGAAACTTTATCAATAAACGTTCATGTAAAGTTCCATAACCATTTCAGTTAAAGTTTAGCAGGGATTATAAACAATTTTTAACCATTTTAGGTAAGGTCAATTTATGGTTCCCGTTTATGCGGGAAGGCATTAACGACGTGTTCAGGGTATCATCTAAACCATTTGTGGGATAGTTTACTCATCCGGGATACAGCTCGTTTATGGTATTTGTTTATTAGGGTTCATTTCTTGGATGTTTTCGGCTTCCTTCATAAGCTAGTACAAACATACCCCGTAAATTTCTTCCAAATTTCCTGGAAAAGTCGTTCTTAGTCCAAAAGTTCTCTCTTCGTCTCTAAAATCGCAGAAGATATAAAATTTATTTAAATAGTTAATACTACACGGAACCGTAAAATTACCCAAAATTAAGTTCTTTTCACTCATCTCCCATGTTCCGTTCAATAAGCTAATTTTCAGTAAATCGCTTATAGTAGTTTGCATTTGGCTACGGCAAAAATAATTACTTACTAGTATGTATTTTCTACCCAAAATTAAGTTCAATTGACTCAAATTTGAGAATATCTCATATACTCACTAGTAGCTTATTGAACGATAGTCATGAGAAAGTCGAATCTCTCGTTCCGTTTTTGACAACAGCAAAAAGTGAGAGTGGGATGCAAAACTCAAAATTACCCAAAATTAAGTAAAAAGAACTTAATTTTAGGGTATTTTTTTTTTTCTCTGTGTAGAGTCCGTGTATAATGAGTCACGCCAAGAGAGAAGCCAACACGGTAATCGCAAAATACGCAATAATGACTACAAAGTAAGCATTTTCGAGGGAGACTGGGACTACCCATTCAATGAGTAAATATATTACCTATTTATGAGTATTTGCTACTCAAAAATGAATACTTACTACTTGTTTTTGTAGTTGCAATTACTCATAAATGGGTAAAATTTTACTCATTTAATGGGTAGTCCCAGTTTCCCTCGAAAATGCTTACTTTGTAGTCATTATTGGGTATTTTGCGTTAACCGTGAAGTCTACCTATTGAACCGTCAAACTGGCTACCTATCGGGCAAAGTAAACAAACGTTACGATGCTATGAAAAATTCACGAAAGGTATTGCAATAAAATATAAAATATAATCGAAGAAATGATCATTAGATTGCAGTGAGCATTAAATTGTCATGGGATACGTTCGGTAATGATCAGTAATGAGAATTTCTACTATTTTTTGTTAAGATAATTTGACAAAATCACTGATATAATGATTTACTACAGCCGCATTTTTTTTCTCTCACTAGAAGTCATTTGAAGTTGTTGAAGAAGTCCTCTGTTGCCAAGTGAAAAGAATGGGAATCTTTCGAAAACCGTGATGCGAGTTCAACTGTTTTTCTCTTGGCGTGACTCATTATACACCGACTCTAGTTAATACCGATAAGTACCGATTTTTCAAACTTCCGAAAACGAAATGCTAGCAAACAATCTGGCAACGCTGTTTGTCGATATCTTTTTGCCACAGTTGACTAAACAGTCAACCCCGTTTGACAGCTGCTGGAGCTGCACCTCGCTGCGGTACGTTATGGAAACTGAACCACTGGCTCTTCATCTTGACGCATCACAAAAATTTGCTCATTAAATTTTTCGCTGCGTAAAATTGTTTGTAAAATACTTGGAAATGCTCTAAATTTCCGCAAATTTGTGCTCGTTTAGTAAACTGCTCCCGCTGAACCGGATAGTGAAATTTTTCGCGCACCATGACGCAGTATTTGCCACCAAACCTGCTGGCATTATTTGCCCCACGCGATCCGATTCCATTTTTGCCACCTCCCGATAAGCTTCCCCACGAGAAGAAATCGCAAGGCTATGCCGGCGTTGGTACATTTCTGGATCTGTTTGAGGTGAGATTTGTTTGCTTGTTTTTTTTTTTTTTGGTTTTTTACGAGGATGGCATATTTTTTTTTCTTTTCGTACACAGGACCCAAAGGATACTCCGCCACCGACCCGGGTCGAGACCCGCGAGGAACGGATCGAGAGGCGCCGTCGGGAACGGGCAGAACAGGTAGCCTACAAGCTTGAACGGGAAATTGCCACCTGGGACCCGAATCAGCTCACTGGCGCCACGGCAGATCCGTTCAAGACGCTCTTCGTTGCTAGAATTGTAAGTAGCTCCTGGATGGTGGTTTGAATTTATTAACTTCAAGTTTTGATTTTCTCTGCAGAATTATGACACTTCAGAATCCAAGCTGCGACGCGAGTTCGAAATATACGGTAAAATTGTCAAGATTGTGATAAATCTCGACAAAGAATCCGCAAAGCCCAGAGGATATGCGTTTATTGAGTATGAACATGAACGGGACATGCACTGTGAGTATTTAATTTAGTTGATTGAATTTTACTGAAACCGATTCTTTCAAGAGGAAGATAGCAGTGATGAATTGAACTTGCGCTCTCACTGATACCTATCTCATACTCGAACGTATTAGATAATAGACCTCTCAGCTCATAAACAGTTTCCAGTTAGGGCCCAGTCTAATTCCCTCCCCCAAACAGTAAATTTATTTCGATATGTTGAACGATTGAAATATTGGCCAGAACCCGAATCTAACGGACTTCATTTTCTCGTTCTCGTTCTTCCTGCTACAACAGTCCCCTGCTGTAGACCGACAGTTGTCGTAGACGATAGCTGGAGGTGGCCAACGGCTGTTACTTGAAAGCTTCACTTTCTTTTCGAATGAGATCGTAGCAAATTCGGCAGCCAACCAGCTCTGTTACTGTGTTACTACCACCGTCCAGCAGGTTACATAATATGTCACACTAGAAAACATTCTGGTTTGCACCGAACAACGGGAGTTAATACCTCAGCTACTAAAAACCGTTTCCAGTGGTTCCATTTTAGATTCTGGAAGATGATATTTGATTGGGATTCGGACTGAGATGATTCAATGTGTCAGTAATCCGCCCTGTAGCACTAGTTCACTCGCTGTGTGAATCAGGAGCAATTGAGAAGGGATTTGGTGTGTTTCTGGAATGTGCCCCCTCTGTGAACTGGTTAGGTTTGTATGAGTGTGGTAAGACAGGTTACGAACAAAGGATAATCGGGTAATACCAACCATACACAAATAAGTGATACGACTTCGATGAAAATGCCTAGTAGATTCGACGTTTCCAATCTCATAGCTAAATTGCGATTGTTTTGATGTAAGCATTTCCGGTGGCTGATCGGGGTTGGTCAAGTGGTTAACGGTAGTTTTAGGAATGTATCTTACCTACCTGCTGCCGAGATAGCAATTGGTCAACTTATTATTATTATTATTTAACTTTATTAATGAGGCTTTCAGCCTTGGGCTGGTTCGCCTCCACTTGGTCAACTTGCATAATGAACTGTGCATCTAATTGCAGCATGTAGAACCAACCGATGTTTTATAAATCAATATGTTCCTTGCCATTATTTAACTCTTTACATCTGTGGTCAACATGGGCACCTTATACATATGCCAAAAAATCCTTGTTGAATCCTAATCATAGGGTAGGATGCTTGGTTTTGATTTATTGAAATTGCAACTTTTAAACAATTTAGGAATCTTGCTAGCAAAACCTTTTCAAAATAGTCCTTTGAATTGATCGTAGTGAAACCGGGGTTAATCCCGCCAGTCTCTCGTATTTAGAAAACCGACACAAGCCGATGGTGGACGTGGCAACGTCTAAGATCCTCTTCGGCGAGTTATAGGTCTGCTTTTCGAGGCCATGACCCCTTCGGTTCTTTGAATCAGCGCACATCGGGGATTTTGTCCGTTTTGCCATTTTGTACCGTCGTCTGCAACGTTGAGCATAGCTAGGGCATGTCGCCCTTCCTCTGGTTCACCAGATCTTTCTGTGAGCTTCGTCCAGGTCTTCCAGTGCACTTCCTTCAGATCTTCCTGTGGATTTCATGCAAATAGTCCTGCGAACTTTCTCCAAGTATTCCTGTGGATTTCCTCTTTATCTTCCTGTGGACTTTCTTCAGATCTTCCTGTGGATTTTCTCCAGATATACCTGTGGATTTACTCCAAATCATCCTGTGGACTTTCCCCTGGTCTTCTTGTGGACTTTCTTCAGATCTTCCTGTGGCCTTCCTATGTAGACTTTCTCCAGATCTTCTTGTGGACTTCCTCCAAATATTCCTGTAGTCTTCCTACAAATCTTCCTGTGAACTTTCCCCAGATCTTCTTGTGGACTCTCTCCAGATCTTGCTGTGGACTTCCTCCAGATCTTCCTGTGGTCTTCCTCCAAGTCTTCATGTGGATTTTCCCCAGATTTTCTTGAGGACGTCCGGTCCTCCAGATCTGCGTTTTTCAATCGACGGGTCGCAACCCATGTGGTGGATCGCAACGCACTGTGGGAATTTTGTCTTTTGCAAGCCGATTCAATGTCAAACATTGTATACACATACATCATCATATTATATACATATCCATACAACATCTGTATTTAATATTGATTGGTTAGGAGTTTATTAAATTTCAAAAGAAGAAAAGCAAGATTGAGAAACGTTGCTCCAGATCTTCCTGTGGACTTAATCCAGATCTACCTGTGAGATTCCTCCAGATTGTCGTGTAGACTTCTTGCTGATCTTCCTGTGGACTTCCTCCAGATCTTCCGGTGGACTTCCTCCAGATCTTTTAATGAACTTCATCCATATCTTCGTGTTTGCTTCTTCTAGATCTTCGTGTGGACTTATTTTAGATCTTCTTTTATCCACCTCTTTCTGTGGACTTACTCCAGATGTTCCTGTTAGTTTTCTCGAGATTTTCCTGTGGACTTCCTCCAGATCTTTGTGTTGACTTCAACTAAATCTTCATACCGACTTCCTTCATAGCTTCTTCCAGATTTTCCTGTGGATTTATTCAAGATCTTCCCGTGGACTTCCGCTAGAAGTACTATCATATTTGAAAATTTGAACTTCCTTTGTTACATTTTATATTCACAGGCCATCCTTTTGGACGCTCTACAAACTTTCTTTTAATATTTCTGATTTTCTTGAATCTCAACTCGTTTGAACTTGCTGTTGTACTTTGATGATCTTTGAACATCCCGTTGGAAGTACCTCGAACAAACCGTTGGAAGTACCTCGAACAAACCGTTGGAAGTCCCTTCAACTTTCAAATGAAAGCTCTTTGAACTTCCTTTTGGCAATTTCCAGTTGAAAGAGCCTTGAACTTCCGGAGAAAGGTGGTTGAACTTTCTGGAGGAAGTTGCTTGAACTTTCCGCAGAAAATTTGAACTTTTAGAAGGAAGCTGCTTGAATTTTCCGTATGAAGCTACTTGATCTTTTCGGAGGAAGTTGCTTGTCTCCGGAGGATGTTTCATGAACTTTCCGGAAGAAAATGCTTAAACTTTCCGGAGGAAGATGGTTGAACTTTCCGGAGGAAGGTGGTTGACCTTTCAGGAGAAAGGTGGTTGAACTTTCCAGAGGAAGTTGCTTAAACTTTCCGGAGGAAGTTGCTTGTCTCCGGAGGAAACTGCTTGAACTTTCCGGAGGAACGTGGTTGAAATTTCAAGAGAAAAGTGGTTGAACTTTCCGGAGTAAAGTGGTTGAACTTTCCGGAGGAAGTTGCTAGAACTTCCCAAAGGAAGGTGGTTAAACTTTGCGGACGAAGGTAGTTAAACTTTCCGGAGGAAGCTGGTTGAACTTTCCGAAGGAAGCTGCTTGAACTTTCCGAAGGAAGTTGCTTGAACTCTCAGGAGGATGTTTCTTGAACTTTCTGAAGAAGCTGCTTGAACTTTCCGGAGGAAGGTGGTTGACCATTCCGAAGGAAGTTGCTTGAATTTTCTCGAGGAAGTTGCTTGAACTTTTCGGAGGAAGTTGCTTCAACTTTTCGGATGAAGGTATTTGAAATTTCTGGAGGAAGTTGCTTGAACTTTCCGAAGGAAGTTGCTTGAACTTTCCGAAGGAAGTTGCTTGAACTTTCCGGAGGATGTTTTAAAAACTTTCCGAAGGAAGTTGTTTGAACTTTCCGGAGGAAGGTGGTTGAACTTTCCACAGGAAGGTGGTTAATTTTTCTGGAGGAAGTTGCTTGAACTTTTCGGATGAAGGTATTTGAAATTTCCCGAGGAAGTTGCTTGAACTTTTCGGATGAAGGTATTTGAAATTTCCGGAGAAAGTTGCTTGAACTTTCCGAAGGAAGTTGCTTGAACTCTCCGGAGGATGTTTTAAGAATTTCTGGAGAAAAGTGGTTGAACTTTCCGGATGAAGTTGCTTGAACTATACGGAGAAAGTAGGTTGAACTTTCCGGAGAATGGTGGTTGAACTTTCCGCAGGAAGGTGGTTAAATTTCTGTAAGAAGTTGCTTCAACTTTTCGGATGAAGGTATTTGAAATTTCCGGAGGAAGTTGCTTGAACTTTCCGAAGGAAGTTGCTTGAACTTTCCGGAGGATGTTTTAAAAACTTTCCGAAGGAAGTTGTTTGAACTTTCCGGAGGAAGGTGGTTGAACTTTCCACAGGAAGGTGGTTAATTTTTCTGGAGGAAGTTGCTTGAACTTTTCGGATGAAGGTATTTGAAATTTCCCGAGGAAGTTGCTTGAACTTTTCGGATGAAGGTATTTGAAATTTCCGGAGAAAGTTGCTTGAACTTTCCGAAGGAAGTTGCTTGAACTCTCCGGAGGATGTTTTAAGAATTTCTGGAGAAAAGTGGTTGAACTTTCCGGATGAAGTTGCTTGAACTATACGGAGAAAGTAGGTTGAACTTTCCGGAGAATGGTGGTTGAACTTTCCGCAGGAAGGTGGTTAAATTTCTGTAAGAAGTTGCTTCAACTTTTCGGATGAAGGTATTTGAAATTTCCGGAGGAAGTTGCTTGAACTTTCCGAAGGAAGTTGCTTGAACTTTCCGGAGGATGTTTTAAGAACTTTCCGAAGGAAGTTGCTTGAACTTTCCGGAGGAAGGTGGTTGAACTTTCCGGATGAAGTTGATTGAACTATACCAAGAAAGGTGGTTGAACTTTCCGGAGAATGGTGGTTGAACTTGCCGCAGGAAGGTGGTTAAATTTCTGGAGGAAATTGCTTGAAGTTTTCGGATGAAGGTATTTGAAATTTCAGGAGAAAGTTGCTTGAACTTTCCGAAGGAAATTTGCTTGAACTCTCCGGAGGATGCTCATGCTGATGTTCATGATGTTTTTCCGGATGAAGTTGCTTGAACTATACTGAGAATGGTGGTTGAACTTTCCACAGGAAGGTGGTTAAATTTTCTGGAGGAAGTTGCTTGAACTTTTCGGATGAAGGTATTTGAAATTTCCCGAGGAAGTTGCTTGAACTCTCCGGAGGATGTTTCATGAACTCTCCGGAGGATGTTTCATGAAGTTCCTTTAAATTCCCGTAGGAAGTTCATTTAAATTCCATTCGAAAGTTTCTTTAACTTCTCTCTGGTCATGGTTTGAACTTCACTCTGGTAGGAAGTTCCTAGAGTTCCTTGAACTTCGATTCGCAAGTTGTTTGAACATCCCCAAAAGAAGGTTCTTAAGCTATCCGTAGGAAGTTCCTTGAGCTGGGTTTACGGCATTTTGGGGCTACAAAGAAACATATCCTAACCACTACCGTTACCAATCGACCGTCCATTAGTGTACATCCGTTGCCTGCGGTGGAATCTCTTCAAAGAAAGGTAAAATGAAACGTGGCGTAAGTTGAAACCGATTTATTGATTCATATGATGCACACTTCAGCCCCTTTAGTGCGCATCGATCGATTGGTGTAATAATATATATCTCGGGTGGTAGTAGGTACACCCGTTAGTGGATGGTAAACAAGATTTTTTTCTTCAAAAGGATACAATTGCTCTCACTATGTTTTAAATCCCCATATTTAAAATGTAAGAGTTCGTGCTGCGGATCCCTCGCATTAGTAAGTGTGCCTTTTTTATTTTCCTTAATTATTTAATCCTTGATTTTGATTGCGCTCAACATTTGAACGTAAGTATTGTGCGCACCAGGTAATGATTGTCTGTAGTAACAGAAAGGGGTTCACCGGAAGACCGGAACTTGAATTGGAGAAAACGAATCCTTGCCCAACGCATCACCACAGACACATGTCTAAGCATACAAAAATCGAATCGAATCTATTCCGAGATTTCGTAGGTTGTTTCTTCGTAAGTAATATTACCGGTTTTTCAATCATTGGTAGGTATTATTACAATCCCATTGAGTATGAGGCAAAAAGGGTACGTTAATGTGTCGGTGATGATAGGGGCTTAGTATTAGGACAGAGGATGAGGATATGCTAGGGTTTCGAGAAGATTCATCGTTGCACTTGCTTCTTGATGAGCTGCATTCCACTTCGTCTAGGACTCAGAGAGCAGGTTTAGTAAATGCAGAGAATTTCGGAAAGATGCTTACAAAATCAAATTCTATTTCAAATCGAATAGGAGACACGGTAGTTTGGTTCAAAAAAAAAAATAATACCTCGATCATCAGTAACCAAACAGTCTACACCTTAAGGGATGCTATTCCGTCACATTCTAGACTTCCATAGGAGTATTTCAATCAAAAGCATTTTGACTATCATTATTTTTCGCTTGCGACACACACACACCATCAATTCCGAAAACCCTTTCTTGGTGCGTCGCAAATGACTTCTATTTCAAAATGTAGCCGCCTACAAGCACGCCGATGGTAAGAAAATCGATGGTAAGCGAGTGCTGGTCGATGTGGAGCGTGCCCGTACGGTAAAGGGCTGGCTTCCGCGACGTCTCGGCGGAGGACTGGGTGGAACCCGTCGAGGAGGACCGGAGGTCAATATCAAACACTCGGGTCGAGAGGACAACGAACGGGAACGGGAGCGCTACCGATTGGAACGCGAACGAGAGGATCGTGGACGGGGCGATCGATTCGATGCACGTAAGTTTGAACCTTTATCCTAAAAGTGACATGCGTACTTGATCTCAAACAATTGCAGGATTCGAACGTCGTCGCTCACGGTCCCGCGATCGCGGTGAACGTCGCCGGCGTAGTCGCTCGAAGGAGCGTCCTCGCCGCAGGCACAGTCGCGAGCGGGAGGTGGACGACCGCTGGGATAAAGAGCGGGAACGCAGTCGGGACAAAGATCGCGATCGGGATCGTGATCGTGAGCGCGGGGACCGCGACCGTTCCGATCGTGATCGTGACCGTGAGAAGAAGCGAAGACGCAGCCGCAGTCGGTCGCGTGACCGCGATCGTTCTGACAAAAAACGTGACAAACGGGACAAGGACCGCGACAAGGAGCGTAAGGAACGCAAACCCGAGCTCCGCGAGGGAGAGATCAAGATCAAGGAAGAACCGTTGGATGGTAAGTTGCTTGGACTATTTCTCGTAGATTTGTATGCAATCGGTGATCATAAGGACAAGACAGAGAACATAATCTTGTGACTTAGGACCCGTTGATCGTTCAATACGTGATTGCAAGAGAAACCTTTACTGGCACATGAGACTACAGGGCTATTAGTTTTCTAGCTTAAACTTTTTAGTAGTATCTAAGTCTCTGACATTTCTCCTTCCGTCGAAATCGACAATCGACTTATCCAAAAACCTTTCCCTCCGTCAATTGCAGATTATCCGGATTACAGTGCTCAGTACACTAACTATCAGGCACAGGTAAAGAATGAAGACGACGAGGAAAAGTACCGTCCGCACGAAGATGAGGATCAAAATGGAGCTCCGCGGACGCGTGCTAGTGGGGAGAATGGTGGCCGCTATGGTGCAGTAAACCGCGAAGAAGCTCCCTATGACGATCGGTACGACGATTATTAGATTGTGTAGCTTTGAGCGAATTTTCTCATCGCAGTCTTTTCAAAATTAATGTGGTACTCCTGCGAGCATAATTCCGCTATCCATCAGCTTCAAAGTTTACTAAGGTACAGTCCCATTTGACTGGGTTGAACTTTCGTTTTTTACCGTAGATTAAATTCATAAACAGAGATCGGATTCATAAACACATAACAAAGGTTAAGTATTTGTTCGTAAGATCATATTTTTTTCGCGTGGCATCGGACAGGTAAAGTATTTTTTAACAGAAAAATGCTTTTGCTTCAGCATCTTCCAGGGTATGGTTAGATGCTGTTGCTGGAGCAAACACAGAATCGGAAATTTTCGAAGTAGGTAATCTGGTGAAAGATTTTTTTATAAACAACAATATTTGACTTTTGGAAAGGTTCATTTGCTTTGAACGAGATGAAATAGACCTCTACATACGGCGTTCGGCTGAGTGTGGATTAGCTTTCCTTTTAGTATAGGATGGGACTTTTGTGTACCCCAACGTAAGTAATTTCCTGAATATAATCGTTTTGATCGATCCGTCACATAGGTATCATTGTTTACGTTTTTCTTCCGAAATGCCCCTTTTCAAATACGTCTTTGCAGAATTCAACCCGGAAGAACGTCAAATGAATGAAACGTTACTGCACCATTGTGGGTATATACATGGTGATAAGCTTTGTCACTATATGGGCTATACAGCTTTGTCAACCCGAGCGAGGCTACAAAAACAAACATTCACAATCACGTTTGACAGACAACAAGCAGATCCCATCATGATACCCGATCCAGGTTGGAACTGAATCAAAAACAAATTCGCTATCAGTTCCCGACCAATGCGTGAGCGAAATCATAGCATGATTTGCTGCTATCCGCAATCCTTTTGCTTCTCTTTTCTTTTTTCCTTTGATTTTTTTTCCGTCGATCTTGTTTTCCGTACTGAGTGCCTCTCTTAAGTAAATGTTGGACTAACTAACTTTCCTATCCCTACCAGTTGTAAGGACGTGGCCAGTACAATCCTTAACTGTTGGAGCGGGATATGTCTTTATCTGGGAGATAGTGATTATTTCCTACTTACTATCTGCCCAGTAATAGATATCCGTCTTGCTCTTAATAGTTTTGAATTCGTACCACCTACGATATTGTGCAACTTGTTCGATGCTAATGCTAATCTTTTTTTTCCGTACTGAGTGCCAATGCTACTTATAAAAGTCCCTATATTTATAGTCTGGTGAATAGAATTTTAATCTATCAAAAAGTGGAACCAATTCAATATCCCTAATAAAAATAACCATAAAAGAGAGCTTAACGACGTGTTCGGGGTATCATCCAAACCATTTGTGAGATAGTTTACCCATCCGGGATACAGTTCGTTTATGGTGTTTGTTTGTTAGGGATATTATAGACCAACGATTGAAAAGGTACTATGAACTTTTATAAACAAAACGTTGATTATTATTTTCTCGCCCATCGAACGCAAATTACCAGCATCATCGGATAGGGGAAACTTCTCCCAACCCAGAGATGGTATTAGTTTGCGTAGGCATAGGCCTTGAGTTACGAGAAAAGTGTTCCCGTGAGTCACGAGAAAAGTGTTCCCGAAGTTTTGTTTGCAATAACTGATGTGCTCTTTTCTGCTACTGTGTGTGTATTCTCTCTAACCCCCACTGGCCGGCAGCGTTATTATGGAAGAACTCTCTCTACAATGTCGCATTTATGGTCATTATAGACAGCTTAAGTCCGGGAGTTAGAAGGTGATAGCTCTATTGCAGATCCAGCAACCTGTTTCAGAATGTCTGGAGAATCACGCCCATTCCGAGGTTACTTTCATTTACAATAAGCCCGCATGTTATGCAACACCGTTATCAAATGGATATTGGTTATACATACACACTTCCAGGTTCGAAAATATTCTTTTCAACCCTGGCATGTATTTAGTATAATTTTGATATTTAATTTGTAAACAATAATTTGGACAGCTCTCACCAAATTCTGCTCTTCTGCCGCCGTTAATAGCTTCCTTTGGAATCCCTTGGTTCTCTAACGCTTCGTATTTCATTCCGTGCTTCACCGGAAATTTCCTTCCGTAGATCTTCCTTGATTGGTTCTAACATGATTCCGCCTTTTCCGGGTTTTTCTTGTTTTCCGAGGGAGATAAATCCGCACTAATTTTCGTTCCTGGTTCGATGTTGACTCCTTCCTCGCTGGTTGGTGTGATCGGTTTCATGTCCACCATCTGTCACTGAATTGCAATGGTGATCTGGGACGAGGCTCACGTCCAAAGTCGCTGGTCCACCGAGCGCTCCGTGTGTGAAAAGAGAATGAAAGGAATACGAAAGGGATCAGTTTCAAGACGTGACACATTGAACATTTCTCATTGTATACCCTACCACCATCTGTCGTATCCAGCTTTCCATGCTCGGTAATGGCGGCCTGTTTGTATGTTTGTATCCTTCACTGTGCTTTTGACACTATCTGGATGTCCGAATTTCAACCCCTTCCCTTTCCCTCTCCCAGGAACAGAAGAAAATGGAACAACATAAGCCCTCCAGTTAGTGTCAAAAAGCACAGTGAAGGATACATTTATTCATACAAACAGGCCGCCATTACCGAGCATGGAAAGTTGGATACACTGTGATGGGCAACCCTAATAAAAATGTTATGGTTAATTTGCTTAACGACGTTTTCGGGGTATCATCCAAACCATTTGTGGAATAGTTCAATCATTTGGGTTATCGTTCGTTTGTGGTAATTTTTTATTAGGGAATACACTCAACAGATGGCTGTAGTGTGTAAACGTTAAACGCAAGGGAATTGATTGTGTGCGCCACAAGTGGTACTACCAACAATCAATACGAAACTAACGATTTTAAATTGGCTCACCACTTTAGTAGCCTATTGGTCCCAAGCAAACGATTAACGTACCCTATTCTAGTTGAAATTCTATTACTACACTATGTTTGTTTTGATTCGCTATGAAAGTTTGACAGATAACATCAGGGGTGTGTGGATTCATGCAGAACATGCAGGGGTGAGTGAAATAGCTTGGGACTGCTTGGGACCATTGTTCTGGTACTGAGTGAGCCAAAAATAATAATGATTTTCTTCGGGACCCAGTGGTCTTAGAGTTACCTCTATGGTACTACCACCCCCCGAGCATCAAGACAGCTCCAGTGTAATGCTAATGTACCCCGAAAATTCTGGTACTCTGGTTCTGTCAAATCGAATAATGGTGGAGTTAATTTACAATTGGTCTTATTTTTTTTATCAACTTTCTTTTCCCCGGTTTTAAGTTTTTTGTTTTTTTTTAACTTTTTATAAAAACATTGATATTTTTTCTAATAGTCTTCCAATCGACTCAGCATGACGGGATCGGAAAATGCCTGTCTATTTATGTGTGTGAGAGAGCGCGTAAGACAATTTTCTTATATGTATTTCTCGGCAACCACTCTACCGAATTGAACGCAACAACAACCAAATGAAAGCTACCATGATTCTATAGAATGTTAATTAATAGACTTTCAATCGATTAACTGGTTCCGGACATATGGACGGAACAAGACCCTAAAATCCGGGAACTAAGTGATGTTTGTCGGCAACCACATAACCGAAATAAACGAAACCCTTTAATCGGGTTACTGCCCAGTGCCCACATAGGAAATAACCATAAAAAGTGCTTAAAAACCTGTGCAGGTTCCGAACTATGTGTCATATGGTTAAACCATTTGGGTTATGGTTCGTGTATGGAACATTTTTATTAGGGTGGTGCTTTCGGGGTAATTTTTAAAAAGAATATCAGAATTTACAGAAATAAGAAGTGCCAGATCACACCACTGGTGGATTAATAAAGTAATACGACTCACTCAAAATTTATTCTTGGTTTGCTTTCGAAGTCCACATGAAGTGAAACAAAAACATGTTTTCTGATGTGAAAAAAGTTGTGCCACCAACTTTGGCTGACCCCATTGTTTACGTACGGTGGAGACATCTACAATTTGCAAGTGGGTACGTGAAACTAAGGTTTTCTGTCTAGATGCTCGGGGGGTGGGTACTACCAACAATCAATTCGAAACTAACGATTTTAAATTGGCTCACTACTTGACTAGCCTATTGGTCCCAAGCAAACGATTAACGTATCCCATTCTAGTCGAAATTCTAGTACTACACTATGTTTGTTTTGATTCGCTATGAAATTTTGACAGATGAAATAAGGGGTTCATGGATTTTCTTATGTTTCGAGGGGTGCATCGATTAGATTGGGACCGAAGATAGTACCAGAGCTGAGCCAAAAAGTTGAGCTCGTTTCTTCGGGACCTACTAGTCTTAGAGTTACCTCTATGGTACTACCAACTAAGAAACTTTTAAATTGACCGTTAAAAGCGATTTCGATAATATTTTAAGAGTGTTATGTCTGCTTGTATGTGATCATACCTTCGCAACTTCGGGTAATCCGCGAAAATACTTGCATTTTGACGTAGAACTACGTCTTTGTCGACTACACAGAAAAAAAAGTTGTTGAATATTACATCCAAACTGCTGCAACCAGGTCAATCCATCGGTTGTGTAATATAACGTTGTACGATGTACATCGATTTTGCGAACAAAATTACATCCATTGATGTCATATTGTATCTGCTTTTTGCTATTACATCAGCTTGAATTACATTGATCGATATTACATTTTTTTTTGCTGTGTATATTGGGGTGCAAATCAAAAAATATTTATGGTGAAATAGTGTTAGGTTTTGAACGCTTGTAACTTTGTCACTTATAGATTAAATTAAAATCTAAGTACGCCAATCGATAGAATATTAAATTACAATTTTGCTAAAATATTTTTTTTCCAATTTTCCATAAAAAAAAAACTTTTGAAAAATGTACAAATGATAGTTTTATCCCTGTTTCAATGAAATTACCGACCCAGTCGTCATAATCGAGTACCACTTGGTTGCATATCATTCTACTTGAACCTGAAAAGATATAAAACATCGCTGCTGTCGTGCTTTTGCTCATTACCGCTTCGGACGGCGTGGCACGTGGCACTGCATTCTGCAGTGAGCAGGAGCAAGTCAGCGGTTAAAGGTGGATCACGGCATGATCACCTTGACAACCAGCGATGGAGTGGAAGGAGACTTGGGTCCTGTTCAACAAAGGGGCTGTTCATTAACTACGTAGACAGTTTAGAGGGGGGTAAGAATCCCTATCGCTGGTTGTCAAGGTGATCATGCCGTGATCGACCTTTAACCGCTGACTTGCT